AATTACTATCTATTTTTTAAATTAAGCATTTAACCTTAAATAAGGAAGTGAGAATATTTCCCTCCCATTTTTAAGCCACATGTTAGATTAAGTGGGCTACACAATGGCTTTCATGGCATCACACAATTAAAATTGGGAAGTTCTGTCAATGTAGTTAACGGCGTTGCATAAGGGTAGATAAAAATGAAATAATTTTGAAAGTTAGTACATGGGTTTGAAAGAAAACAAAGATTCTAAACTAAAATGAAAAAAGAGTAATAGTTAATAGATGATTTCTTAAATTAAACCATCGAGAAGTCATTTGATGCGATAAAGTGTGAGATGAACTAATGCTTTTATGAAAATCTCATGAGAAAAAGAGTTTTTTCTATAAACTCAATTATTTGGGAAATGTGAGAATCACATATTTAAGATGCTCCTAATATGAGGAATTGTAATGTCCCTATGTATTATTATTGGTGATGAGACCAATAGTGCCTAATTGAAATTTTGCATAGCATTCTTATTATACAATAAGGTATCATGGATGCTTAACAAAGCAAACGCAATATGCACTCTTATTATACAATTGTTTTTTTTTTTCTTTTGACTAGCAAAAGAAAAATTCTATTATATGGAGTATAAGGGGTACTCCCTCCTGTTTACAATAATAAAAAACTCACTTTATCAAAACCTTAGTCCATTTCTCCTCAACAAAACTAGACTTCGGTGTTAGAAACTCATATGCTACCTTAATCGAATACAAACCATCCCTTCTATGCACCCATCTCCAAGAATCCACTCCACCCAACCACAACTTAACTCGATTAATCCTTTCTCGGAGCTGTTCTTCCTCTCCAGCTGCCTTACCCACACATCGACCTTTCCACCTACAATCCCATACCTAATTTTCTCTACTCCAAAAACCCATATCTTTCAATAACCCTCCTTACTCATAGCCTACGCAAACAATCTAGGAAATAAAATTTTCAAATATTGATCCCCCACCCATTTATCACTCCAAAAATCCACACAACTTCCATCCCCAATTTCCCACTTAAAACCCTTTACTAACATCTCCGACAATCTTTCTGACCTGCTACCCAAACTCACAATGTCCTTCCATACTCGAGACATATTCAAACACTAAAAAGAAGTAACATCCATCTCCTTCCTACCCCCATAATATTTCTCCCAAATCACCCTCTTCCATAAACCATTTCCCCAACAAAGCACAATTCCTCCTCTCTAAATCAGCCACTTCTAATCCCCCTCTCCCCTTATCCACACACATACAATTCCAACTAACCCATGGAATTTTCTTATCCAAACTTGCACCCCCCCAAAAAAAGTTCCTTTGAATATTAATCACCTCAACAAGAACACATTTTGGAATCTTAAATAAAGACAAATAAAAAATAGGGATAGCAGAAAGTACTGAGTTTATTAAGGTGATTCGACTTCCAAAGGACAATAGTGGGCTTTTCCAAGTGGCAAGCTTTTGACACAAATGGTCCAACATTGAATTCCAGAACTTTTTTCTCCCTAAATTCCCTCCAACCAACAATCCCAGGTATATAAAAGGCACCTTACCCACCTCACAGCATAAAATATCTACAGCGCCTTTTAACCACCCTTCTGAAATATTAAAACCATATAAAAGACTCTTACTAAAATTGATCTTTAACCTTGATATCAATTCAAACCAGCACAAAATAACTTTCACTACTGTTACATTTTCAACATCAGCCTTTCCCATGAAAACCGTATCATCTACAAATTGTAATAATGATAACACCATACCTCTACTTCCAACGTCCACTCCCCTCAGAAGCCCTTCACTTTCAACTTTTTTGACAAGACCACACAAACCTTCGCCAACTAATAAAAACAAGAAAGGGGACAGAGGATCACCTTGATGAAGACCTTTACTTATAGAGAATTCCACCGTTGAGTTTCCATTTATTAAAACAAAAATCATTGCTATTGACAAACATTCTCGAATCCACTTTCTCTACTTAGCTCCAAACCCCATTTTATCCAACATCTAATCAAGAAAACCCCAATCCACACAATCATATGCTTTCTCAAAGTCAGCCTTAAAAATAAAGCTCTCTTGTTTCCTTCTTTTTACCTTATGCATAACCTCATTCAAAATTAACACACTATCCCCAAATTGTCTACCACCAACAAAAGCTAATTGAGAATCACTGATAATGTCTGACATAACCATTTTCAATCGATTTGCCAGTACTTTAGCCAATAATTTATACAAACAACCAATCAAACTAATAGGCCTATACTCCTTAAATTGCATTGGATTCAATTTCTTAGGTATTAGTGCAAAAAATGAAGAATTTAAGCCTTTAACCAACCTCCCATGTTGATGAAATTCCTACATAAATGTCACAAAATCCACAAAATCATCCTTCAATGTGCTCCAAGCAAACTTTATAAAATTAAAATTATATCCATCTGATCTTGGTGCCTTCGACCTATCACAACTATGAAGTCCCTCTTCAATTTCCTCTATTGAGAAAGGTCTTTCTAGCCACTCCCTTTGGGCATCTGAAATTTGACGGAATTGAATCCCATCCATTATAGGGCGATCCCACTGTTCATTCTGGAATAACTTACTGAAATACTTCACGACCTCTGCCTTTACCAATTCTGGTTCCTCAACCTAGCCATCCTCCCCTAAGATGCTTGATATTACATTTTGAGCTCTCCGTGCCTAAACACTCCTATGAAAGAAAATTGTATTTGCATCCCCAAGACGAACCCAATTATCGTGTGATTTATGTTTCCACATTGCTTCCCTCTTCCGTGAAATGTCCCATAACTCTGAAAACAATCTCTTTGCGACAACACCTCATTCTCATTTAATTCATCCTCCTCACTTTTTTTATCCAACTTCTCAATCTGTTGTAACAAGTTATCAAACCTACCCTCTAAATCACCAAACACCTTTCTATTCCACCCTTTGCATTCCTCTTTCAACAATTTCAACTTCTTTTGACATTTGTAGGCTGCCCATCCTTTAATTTGCAATTTGTTGCATCTATCCTCCACAAATTCTCTAAATTTTGGGTGTTGTTGCCAAACATCAAGAACTCGAAATGGCTTGAGACCCCAATCTATATTCCTCAGCTTCAAAATAATTGCACAATGATCTGAAATTGATCTGCGAACCGCAACATGAATCCAATCTTTCTCTAATAAGCTCATCTCTGTAGATAGTAGGAACTTGTCGAACCTACTCATTGAGGTTCCATCAGGTCTATACCAAGTACACTTCCTATTCATCAACCTAACGTCTATTAGCCTATTCCCTTCCACAAATTGATTAAAATCTTCCATGTCTTGTGTCTCTTCTAATCTCTGCTTCCTTTTTACAACATTACGAACCACATTAAAATCCCCTACTAATAGCCACCTACCACCCTGTTCCAATAGTAAACCCCCAGTCTCCTCCCACAACAAAACCTTCCCATTTCTATCACATGGAGCATACACATTCACCAAATTACATGTAATCTGTTGACTACCCCATTCACCAGAAATGCCAATGAAACCCTTTCCTTCAAACACCCTCCTTTTGAGAAAACGCTTCTTATTCCATATACACAACAAACCCCCTAAATTTCCCCTTGATTTTTACATAACCCAATCAAAATCATCTGAAATCCATAGCATTCTACACAAAGAAACCTCAATCTCCTCTAATTTAGTTTCTTGAATAAACAATAAATCCGAATTCTCCCTTCTTACTAATTTGAAAATCTCCTTTCTCTTTAACAAACTACCCAACCCTTTAACATTAAAAGAAATTATCTTCATAACTTGAAAACATACCTCACAGACCACCCAACACCATCACTGAATCTTCAAGCCCTTTTGAAACGAGCTACATCCCTCTCCTCTAAAGCTCTCAACTTGGAAATCACCTCTTCCTCATCTTGTTGACACTAGATCCCTAGTCTTTGCCCCATCACAAACATCTTCCACATGTCATTTAACTCCAACTATTCTCGAATTACATTGTTTCGGTGTTGTATACATCCATCTGACAAAGACCCTTCTTGTTGCAATTCCAGTCGTGACCCATCCAACACAACTTTTTCCCTTCTGTTCCTTCTGCTCTTCGTTCTTTTCGTAACCCATACAGCTTCTATTTCTCTAGATATTTTCTCACCACTATCCTCAGAATAAATCTCACCTACACTTCTGTGTTTCTTTTCTTGCTCCCCGATGCTGCTACAGCCCAGGAGACGCCAAATGTCCACTACCATTTCCACTTTTAGCCTGCTATTCCATACACTCCACTTCATCAGGCCCACTCAAGCCCCCCTTTCTTGGCCCACTTTTGTCTAGCCCAATGTCCATAATTTTTTCAATTGATTCTTTTTCTGCCAAAAGAACTTGCCTCTTTAAACATGCATTTGAATCAAGTTCTGTTATTGCGCGTTCCTCGGCCACAGTATCATCATCATCGCCCAAATCCGTCAACACTTAAATTTGCTTCACTATAACCTTCACTAGAATATTCTGAACCAGATTCTGTTGCCGAATTTCGTCGATCTTCAGCCAACCACCAATCTAGGTCCATATGCCATTCCTCCTTCTTCACTGTTATTGGATAAGCTTGGCCGTCGATTATCAGAGTAACTGCGAATAAAATTTTGCTCTTTTCTTCACTAACAATCAAGACTCTACCATCACATAAAAATGATTTACTTTTTGTATCCTCATCCACAAGAATCACCTCTCTAACTAAGCCCCCTAACTCTACAAAACATCTCTCATTCCATGCTTTTAATGGAACTCCAGTAAACCGAAGCCATACCATTCTACTTGAGGACATTGTAGTTAAACTACTTTGTTGCACCCATTGAAACCAAGAGTCCATCAATTCCCTGTTACATTTTATAAACTCCTCAAGAGATCTTTCCGAATTGTCGAGTAATATTACTTATCAACCATTGAGCAAAGCAACACTAACCATTAACCAATCCACATTGAATATGTTCTGGATTTGCTTCACCATATCCAATGATCGGACTAGAGCCACCCAACTTCACTTCAACCATGCCACTTCTTCATCTATAGGAGAAAATTGTAAAACTAACTTATTTTTCGAAGTGTATCTCCTTACAGCCATACCCTCCGATTGCACTAGCAAAGATGACCCATATGGCCTTGTCTCTGGCACCGCTTCTAAGTCATTCGGCTTTATACCCTCCTTCCTGATCTCTTCTGTTGCCTCCTTCTTCTTTGCTACAGCAGTCTTGTTGAATTCATTAGCCACAGATATCCCATTCACAATTGCATTATTATTCCCAGCCACAACCTGGGCGTAAGTCACCCTCAGATTCACCTTACTATCCCTCCTAATCCATTTCTTCTCTGTTTGCGTATTTTATCGAGACGTTGTCTCTTCCCTCCCTCTTTTCATGTTCTTTGCCAACTTAACCTTGAGATGATAAGAGTCAAGCCATATATGATCCAATTTCCTCTCCATGTCCTTCACATCTACGACCTTTGACATGCATACAAACCCAAAACGACGCCCTCTCTGATCTCGCCTTGCCAGAATATAAACATCAGCTACCTTCCCAAATGACCAAAAACAAAACCACAAATCCTTCGCAAAATGATCATTTGGAAAATCATAGAAAAAATACATGGTTGCCTGCCCTAGATACTACTTGCCAAATCCCGGAAGCAGCTGTCAGAGCCCACTACCACTGTCCCTAGTTGTCGGATGCCTTGTCAAAACCCTAGCACTCTCTCTCGCTCTTACTCTCTCTCTCATCTTTGCCAAAACCCTACAAATCTAAATTTGTGTGAGAACTTTTACTCCTATTATACAATCATGGTATAATGGTGTATCATTATTGCAGAAGATGGATATTTAGACCAACAAAATGGTTCAAATATCATACAAATCGGTTTGAAATAAGTATATACGGACCAAAATTGATTTGTGTAGTTGGTCCAAAAAAACATGGTATGAAATAATATATATCCAAACCGGACAAAAATCGGTTCATATAATTAAACTATTTAGACCAAAAATGGTTCAAATATTTTGGAAAAAAGCATCTTGCCCCTATTTTAAAATTAAATTAAACAAATCACAAATGGTCCACAAATTAATACATTAATAACATATCAACATAATTACGAACCAAAAACAGTTTGAATATTTAAGGCTACATTGAAAAGAAAAAAAGTTGGCGGCAACTAGGGAAAATATATTTGGACCAACTTTGGTCTGAATATATATAGCCTCAACTACCAAAAAAAAAAAAAAAAATTTTTTTTTTTACTCTTAGTTTATTTGATTGTTTAGACTAGACGCTCTATATTTAATAATAAAAAATATTAATTATGAGATAATGGTTAACGTTGAATTTTTTAAAATTATTTTAATATTTTAATTTCTTTTTAATGGAGCTTTATACAACTTTTTTTGGAAAAATTCCTTTGCTAATTACATAATGCAATTTCAAATGTTATCTTAATTATTTAAGTAGAATTTTTTAAATAAAAAGTTATTATGAAATTCAAAAATTAATAAAACATATTATATAATCCAAGCTCTAATATGAAGAACTAAAGTTGCACCGGAAAAAGAATCTAGTTAAAAATAAAATCAGGCTAACAATTTCAATTCAACCCTATTAAATCATTCAATTAATTAAACGAACACTAATACAAATATTTTTTAATTTAATACATTTTACTAAGCATTCATTTAGAAATTATTATTTTTAAATTTAAATTGAAAACAAAAAAGCTTAAAATTTTAAATTTTAATACCAATTAGTATTAATAGATGTGTTGAACCACATGTTTCTTAATCAAATTTAACGAGGATAGAGCTCAAAACGTTTGAGCGGCTTTATTGCATATACGTTTTCGATCATAGTTATTAAGGATACTAAATATCTATAACCTGAACTAATACTTTATTTTCTATCTTTAAATAATTTCCTCTCATTTAAAGCAAAGATTCACCTCTTTGGGCTTTTGGAATTTATATCCTTCCTCAACTGAGTTTAGAAGCACAACAATACTTTTAGAAGGGAGAGCTTTTCTATAACCATGAGAACCATCTCCTTTAATTATGCATCTTTTCTACTAATCATGCTTGTTTCTAGGTTACTAATTTTCACACCTTGTCATGGTTTGTCTATGTTACCCTTTTATATTCTTTTGTTTTTCCTTTTTATTGTGTGATTTAACAAGATAATCTTTTCCCATCACATTGAACTTTAGTTTCATATTCATGATTAATTTGTCAATGACATAAAGGGTTCAATAATTTAAATTTAGAGCTCAAGGGTGTATAAATTTTGAGTGGAGAGGGTAAATAATAGAGAGAGAATTAATTCTCTCTTTGTAAAATTCAAAAATTGTTGCATGCATATATCTTACCAAGAATCAAATAACATGTTTGGTTTACCACTATTAATCACAAAGCTTTACATTTTTGTTTGTTGTCATAAGCTATTCTCATGATTATATTCATGTTTATATGTTTTAGGGTTTATACCTAAGATGCCTGATAGAAATCATGAAGGTGAATTGTCGCCCCGTGCCAAGGACTATATCCCTAAAGAGAATAGAGAACTAGCTAGCTTTGTAAAAGAAGATGCACTTAGTAAATGTTGCAATAGCCATCCTGAACAGGGGAAATGTTTGCCGGGTGAAGATGACATACCTCCTAATGGCCATTGTTACCTATTTTGCAGCAGTTGTCCAAAAGGAGGCTTTTGCAAACGTTTCGGAGATGGACATCACGAGTGCCACTGTTATTGTTGATCTCATCCATACTTAGAATCCTCAAGGGGAAAAAAGAATATGAATAGATCATTATGACTATGCTATTTGGATCAAATATTAAAACTATTTCTTATTTCTCAGCAATAAAAGAGTGAGGTTATTCAATTACTCTTTTAAGTGAATTTGGTTATCCGTTTGATGGATACTTTTGGCCTCTTTCTATTTTGGTAAAACCCTCAAATTCACCCCTTAGATAGTAGGTAGGGACAAATCCATACCTCAAAAAAATGTATGGACAAATTTTCCTTTCAAATTATAAATCAAGACAAATCACTCATTTTTTAATGGATTCTATTTGTCACGTAAATATTTTTTAACGGAAAGTTGATGTAACATGTTATGAAATAGGTGATTTATTTTGATTTATAATTTAAGAAGGAATTTATCCTTACATTTGTTTAAGGAGTGGATCCATCGTTGTCTCCTCTATTTGAGGGGTGGATTGGAGGGTTTTGCTTTCTTTTTTTTTTTTAATCTCAAGTTTTGTTAACTATGTACAGAAGAAAAAAAATTCTGTATGTAGAAGTTTAGCTTGTTTTACATTAGTCACATAGAAGAGTTTATTATAATTATTATTAATAAAAGTGTTAGACTATACGCAAAATTTGCATATTATATCTATATCTATAGCTATATCAATCAATATATATATCATACTAATTTTTTTACCTTGTGCATTGTAGAAGTTATTTTTTAATTTTTCATACTATAGCTTAGATTCAATATTATTTTTATCACCTTCTAAATTTTATAATGACTTTTTTGATAAAAAAAATTTCTAAGTATGCTATTAAGGTCAGTTGAAGATTGCAATTGCTAATTAACATAAGTATTTTTTTAAAATATTATACAGAGCTACATTAAAAAGAAGGAATATTAAAAGAATTTAGAAAACAGAATATTAATCTTTATATTATAATCCCCTTCCAAAACTTCCCCTCTTCGTCTTAAAATTTAAATTTAAAATCTCCAATATGTATACTCAATTTCGTAAACAATGGGATATCTCCTATGGGACTATTCTTTCCCTTTTGTCTCCTCTTTTTTTGGTTCTATTATTATCTCATACAAGGATTCAAACGTTATTTTCTCTTCGAACTATAATTAAATAAGAACATTAAAATTTCGAATCTTATATTCAATTTCCTTGCAATTAAGAAAAAATACAAATAAAATTAAATAACGCTGTTCTTAGAACTTAAAAGAAAGTTAAATCAAAACATCAAAACCATTAGTTAATTAATTTATTAACATCTGTCTTATTTTAATCATGCACAAAAATTTAGGATTAATTATTATTGAGATAAATTTATATCTTTCTCAATTCTTCCCTTAAATATTACTGAGATAAAGGAGTTGAATTATCAAAAGTGAGGTTCAATTACAGGGTTGAAATGCGAAAGAAAAAATTAATATACCTTAAAATTGTAAAAGAGACCATGAAATATTATAGATATGGACACTGATTGGTGCACACCCGGATCTCACACCCGGGTGTGCACCTCCCACATAGAAGAAAGAGGTTGGACCGGGTGATGAGGTTTTTTTTTTTTGTTTATATGGTGTGTGCATACTCAGGTGTGGGATCCGGGTGTGCACACATCATTATCCTATAAATATATATAAACTGATATATAAAAGAGACTAAATTTTTTGAAAAAAAGAGATTAAATTATTATATTATAGCATAGACTAATTGTTAAAACATTATACAGAGACTAAATTTTGAAAAATTTTAATTCCTAAACAATAAAAAATTTTCCTAAAAAGTAAAAAGGAATACATATGATTAATTTTTACATGTAATAAATGTGCTTATTAATAATATTAGTTCAACTATTTTATCCACTCCGTATTTATCTTCTTTTCTTTCACTACTTATCTTTCCCTTCTTAACTATTTTATCATAAATGTTTTTTGAGTCTAGATATAAATTATGAAATTATTTAAGTATCCTTACAAAATAAAATTTATTAAAGTTATTTTGATACTTTTATAACTTAAATTGCACTTTTTATGTATAGTCAAGACTAAAGTTGTTGCATTCTCTTGTTTTATATCATTATTTTTCTCTTATACTGAAATTGACTTCATTCATAGGTAGATATCCTTATGCATTAAATTTAGTTTATGGCCCCTCGGTTGCATAATTCTTAAATAAATATTTAACTAACATCATAATTTTAGGGTAAATGGGAAAAATGCAAAAGATATAAGAAAAATGAAAGGTTGGTCCTTTAATGGGATCCTTTAGGCTTTAACTTCAATTTTTTTTTTAAACCATTTTTGTTCCTAATTAAAGGACCTAACGTTCTCTGCTCTCTTTTTGCAATTTTTTCCTGTTTAAGACAATAGTAAAAGCATTCTTAATTAATTTTTGAAAAATGATTAATACACACTCAATTTAACATACTTTTCAATATTCGTTCAGTTTAATTATTAAAATATAATATAAATACAGTTTGATAGTCAATTTTTTATATCTTGTATATATGATTATATTTTTAAATTTATCTGTTTTTAATTTCATATTAAAAATTAATAATTTTTTAATAAATGTATTATAGAATATACTGAATCAGAATATGTATCAATCAATATATTTAATTTTAACTTTTTAAATATAAGCATTCGATCTATCTCCAAAATTTACTTATACTTATTTACTCAATTAATGTGTTTTCTCCTTCATTTTCACTCAAAAATTTCCTTGCTTGTAACATGTATCTTCTTCATTTCTTCTTTTTTATCATCCATCTCTATGGACAAAAATTTGATCAAAATAAGACAAAATATGTGGGATGGATGCTGATAATCAAGAATTAATTTCATGTCTTCAACAATCGAATAAACTATGGGAGGCTAAGTTTATTATTATGCGTACGTGTTAGATAGCGTTGCAGTTTCTATCATGAATTTTGTTCTCTTTATTTGTTTCTTGGGAAGAAAATCAAGTTGCGTATTGGGTGACTCTTCATATCTTAAAAGGCAATGTCTTTTATATTGGGCACATGGACCTCCTAATATTTTGTTTACTCCTTTCATTCAATTTTAATAAATTTATTTTTTTAATAAATATAGATATAATAATTTATTGATAAAATTTTATATTTATTTTTAATTAAGTATCATTTAAATAAAATTTTTATATAATATATGTTGTCGTTTTTTTAATAAAAATAAATTAAATAATATCCTAAAAAATAAACAATTAAATTTGAACTATTCAAATTAAAAATTAAGTTTGCCAAAATTAAATGGAGTAACTTTTTAGGAGAGGCGAATAAACATACTATATTTTTTTTAACTTTAAAATTTTAACATAAATTTTTTTAATATACTCGATTTCGTTTATGCAAAGAAAACGCAACATTGACAATCTAACCTCACTTGATAATCCGCCCTCTCAAAAGTCTAGTTGGATCAGTTCTCGTTTTCCATATTGAACTATAGACTTCGGAAGCTAAATCCATGCCCAAGTCCATCTCTTCCTGTAGTCAGTGAATTTTTTTTTTCTTTTAATGTCTTTCATTATCTTACAAATATATAAAATATTATATTAATTAAAATTATTACAAGTATATAAAAGATAAATTAAAATTACTTAAAAATCATAAATTTATATTTTCAAAAGAGTTACAGTATAAAAAAAATCTCTAAAAAATGTTATTGAAGGAAGCCAACATCGTTTATAAAACTAAAAGTCACATTAACTAAAGTTAAATGAATATAGAAGAAAACATTCTTGCAAAAAATTATTATAGTGTATTTAAAAGGACATTTAGAAATTAAAATAAGTAATGAAATTGAAAAAAATTTGTAAAAAATTAACTTAAATTGTATAAAATAAAACATCCTTTATATATAATGGTAGTTAATTAACCACGAAAAAAAGACTAACAATTAATTAGTTTTCAAACATAAATTACTAATGAAGGTTAAGATTAATTAAATATTTTATAATTATCATTAGAGCATTTTGAATTGTCAAAATTTGTACAAAATTAGTTAAATTTATTGAAAAATTATGAAAAAAAGAGAGAAAGTTTTGAGTTGAAACATTCTTAAAACTATTATTAATATAAAAATGGGAAGACTATGGGTACTAAATGTTTTCCAAAACATATTACCACTTAATTGAAATAAATATTAATCAAATATCTGTATTGGTTATCTTGAAGGATTTTATAAAATAATAAAAGCGAAAAAATAAATTATAAGTTGGTCTCATTTTCTTATGTTATAGGATAAATGAAATATTAATATGATTCATTATTTGCTTTGTTATAATACAATTAAAACTGAAAATATTCTCTTGACATATAATCTAATTTAGTCTTTTTTTAAATTAAAATATATAAATTAAACTAAAGCTATTGATGTGATTAGCATTATATGAGTTAAGCTTTTCCGCTGCAAATAATATGTTTTGGGAGAGGAGCAGTGCTAGCTGCAGTTGCTTTTAACACTCGCTGTTAGACACCCGCCCTCTCCCTTTGCCACCTCACTTACGCTTTTGAAAGGTATACTGGAAACCAGCCTCAACAAGTCACCTGCTAAATGACAATAAAACACAGAACCCAAAAAACTTATCTTCTGGGATTTACACCCAATCTGATGAATCTCATACCATTTTCATTCTTGCATGATTCCTTCAAAATCAAATCCCCGACTTCTCACCCACGTGGACGGTACAATAAAAATAAGTGTTAACCCCATCACCCCTGTGCGTTGCTCTTGCAAGTGAATATACATATTTTATCATGAGATGTTAGAATTTAATGATGTTATTAATTTGTTTAATTTCCAAGGCTTGAAA